AGCAAACTCATAGTTCTTATCCTTTCTCGAACTGTACATCTAATAGTCCAAATAATTACATAGTGCGTGAGCAGCGAACAGCATAAAGTGAGTAGCGCGCCTGATTCGTCAAACGTCCCTCCGTTGTTGAGGTAGATGGACGCGGTAGTGTCTGCACAAGTGGGGTTGAGATGTTCGTGAATGCGTGAAGTTTGACAAGTTTCATAGGCGCAGTAAGTCATTGCATTGTTTGCAAGTAATTCGATGGTCAAGACAGAAATTGCAAGAGTAATCACTAAACCCTTCATTGAAGTTCTTTGTTATGTTTCTATGGCAGTTTCAGAGAAGACAGTGGGAGGCAGCCAGATTGAGCGAGGAAGTAGATCTGTCAGAAGAACTCGATCCTGCTCCATTTCATCTCGTGAAGAAGACATCTCTTTACAAGGTACAAAGTTCTATTCAATCCTGCTTTCGAAATGAATGCGCGAAAAGCGTGAAATTCAGTTTTGACAGTTTGGAATGTGCCACGCATACCACTTCCCTTCAAAATCCTAGTGAATTTAAAAAAAATTCGCTGTCATTGTGCAGTCAGTAGCCAGCTGATGCACATGTTAGGATAATGCGCTCCCTTCTAACTGGCTATAGATTGAAGAAAAAACCGAACTCAGGACAGGATCTGAACACGGGATGAGGTCGCATTACGCGACGCCACCTTCTTCTGCACCTTCTCTAACAGATTCTCTCTGGAAGATTTTCGTCCCCCTCCCGTCTCCTATGCTTTGTTGATAGCGTGGAAGGGTGAAGGATACAAAGCCTTAAGCTTTAAGCAAAAAATTTCTTCTATATGGACCACCTTAGTATTTTTCCCACGCAGCTGTATGGGGGTAATAGAAAAAACGCGCTGAATGTGTCGAAGGCCGGACTTCACAATTTCGCTCACCTACCCTTTCTCGTTTCATAACGTGTTTGGTCAGTTGTGTCGCCGCTACCTCGTTTCGTTTAAATAATCCCATTTCAGTAAATTTTTAAATATAGTCATGCCATAACGGGCGTTTTTATTCTATTGATTAGTACTGAGGTAAGTGCAGTCGAACTACTATGCAAAACTAGAGCGCACGTCCCCTATATATGTTATTCTCTGGGTTACAAACTATAATGCTGACACACTTGTAGAGTTGGTCTAGTGGCAAGTGGCTCGCCTAGCAGGGACCCTGTCGCGAGTTAAGTTAGGGATTGGCTGGCGCTCAGGCCAACCAAGTATTTTTCTCTGCATGAAAAATTGATATCAGATTCGTTTATTGACAACAATATTGACTTGTACATGGTCACTGTGTAGGACATATTGCATTCAACTGCCACTACGATTCCGAAAACATGTGGAATGCATGAGGCATTTTAGAAAAGGGACTGATCCTAAGCTCAACTCTTCCTCCAATGTCGAAGCATTGACTGCGCAGGAGCAGTTCATGAAAAAATGTACCAACAACGTGACACCCTTTGCAGGTCCACTCGATCTTCTCGATGTTGCAACTCAGCATAGCGTATGTCACTGAAGGAGGCCGACTGATTGGTGTTGTCGCACTGAGTGACGTGAGTTCGATAACGTGATAACGTCCAAACAGATCTTCAGTTCTACCGCATCTTATGAAAAGTTTCTGTAGCCTGCTGTTTCTGAGAAGAAATTTTTCCTTGGCGGTAATGATAGTAATGGCTGTAAGTATACACGTTCAGTAAACAGTTTGATGTCCAAGTGGCTGAAAACATTACCTGGCGGTGGCTTTCCGAAGAACGCCTTCAGTTCATTTGACTTCAAGTGAATTTCCTAGACAACCTGAACTATTCCAGGTACGCCGAGAACTTGAGCGTTCACAGGAGCGAGCTCACAGAGGAAGAGTCTTGGCGTCTCATGTCCCATCCTCGAAAGAAAGAATTCGCAAACCTCCAAAGAAAGTTTCTACGGTTGTTGACATTCTTACACCGACGCTCGAGGTTTGTACTTCAAACTTTTTCGCCTATCCAACGGTAATGTTTGCTACTGCGTTGGCATCGAGTCCCGTTCTTTGCATGAGTCATAAGCACGAAGAATGTATAGCAAGACCGCGACAATGAAGGAAGCCCACTTGTAGTCTAACGACCTTTAAGAGGGGAGCTGCCGCGCAAAATAAAGGGGAAAATTGAATAGCTGGTAGAATATACGACCTGCCGTAATCAACATCAACGTTCATTTCTGAACTCTTCTAAACGGTGCTTCTACTACTGCCTATTTTTGCTTACTCACATACACCGCTGGAATGATGAGTGTTTCAAGAGAGAAGAGTCACGATACAATGGGTGAAATCCTTCGAAGCAAGACTCCTCCCTTCGTTGTACGTTCGTACAAGCTCGGATTGGGAGAGGGTCATACCTAAGGCATCTGGAAGGGCGTTCAACAGCTTTTTCTCAACTAATAACTTACTTGCCACCTTATCGCTAGCACTGGTCCCACTACCCACATTTGACCGCGGTACATGCCTCCAAGTGAAAAGTTGCTTGAAGACATGCAAAGAAGTTATGACACCATCCTTATCCGTGAGACAAAAGCAGCGCACAGGGTAAAATTTGGAAAATAGAAATAATAATAACAGAAAGGAACTTGCTGTATCCGCGTGAGCAGCAAAGTGGGAAATGGAAGCTGAAGTTCCACGTTGAAGGACAGGTTGGTATGTTCATAACGATTACATCGTTAAAATGTGAAAAATGACGAAGTGTGAAAAATGACAACACAGTCTGTTTCGCTGCAGATGATGCGTCGTGTCCGTGAGGCTAGGCTTGGCGCGCCGCAGACTCTTCTCCACCACCTGTAGAAGTGGGTGAGCGGCAACGACTCGCTAAAAACGACTGATACAAAAGATATGACCCAGTCTCGTCGCCTGCCGAAGGAAAAAATGGCAGGTCAAACCCATGTACCCCTGAAACGCCCCGTCATCTGCAGCGAACAATGACTGCATTTAGGCTCATTGGACTGCAGTCGCTTAAAGATCGTACATCATTAGCGGCTCAAACTTCTCTTCAAGAAATGAAATA